GTGCATAGCGACATGTCCCATACGATAAATAAGCTACAACAAGAGATACCATTGAATGTGAAGTCGCCACAAGGACTTACACTGCTAAAATGCATGGTGCAGAAAATGTATTACACTGCTAGAACACATGGTGCAGAAAATGTATGAATTTCGGGAAATTTTATTTTGGGAATCAGTGTAAAAATTTTTTACAGATATTAAAATCTGTAAATTAGAATACCTGATTCTATATTCTTTCTACATTAAAGGAGCGTTCATTTCGTTCGTTTATCATAAAAAATGTAGAAATCACACCATTTTTAGAAACATGCTTACAATTTCATTGCTCTAGAAGGGCGGGCATTTAAATAAACTCCGTCCAGCTGCCCCTACCGGAAATTAAATGGCCCGTCCGATAAAGGTTAATTGTTCTCTGTCGACAGTTTCAGATATGAACTAAAACACTGTGATTTCCCATTCATTCCCTTAATCATGCTAATATTCCAAAAAGTGTATCTTGTCAAAGAGATGTAAAAATACACAATCTACAGTTCTCTAAAGTATATTCCCTTTTGCTGTATAAAAGTAAATAAAATATTACTTCTTGCACATTTCTACAGCAATTACTCTTATTTTGTTTTAAAAAATCTACAAGCATAATAACTTCAATTATAAATTTCATCCCCCAACATACTCTGATCACTTTCTTCTACACTGTAATATCTGTCAATCCATAACATCTCTGTATTAGGTCACTGCACATTTACTAATATCTTGTATTTGATTTATTATAATTTGTTCTGCACATGTATGTGCATAAGTAAAATTTCCTTACGTAAGATTCTACATATATTCTGATCTAAACGTATGCAAGTTTTACTTGATTATTCCATTCACATTAACTGTGAACCTTTCTCTTACCATTGTTGAAGTTGATGTGTCAGTTTCAGCAGGATCAGTCAGTCTTGGTATCTTGACTGCCTCAGGTATAGGACTTTCCAATATGAGTCTCTGAAGAGCGCTGTCTCGGGGATTTTTGCCACTGGGTGAGGAGATGGCTTTTTCAAGATCATGTATTTTCTTTTGAAGGCTTTTCTTCTCATGTTCCAAATGTTGCAAATCGTCTTCCAGCTGCTTATTCAGCTTTGATTTAAGTTTTAAATCTTCATTTAATCTATTCTTTTCTAATATGGCTGCACTCAGATCCCGATGATATATTTTTAGCCGGTCTCTAAAATCTCTCTTTTTCTCTGACGCTGCTTGAATTTCTCTAAAAGTAATCAGGCTTTCCCATAAAACGTGAAGTTGCAAAATAATATAGTTAATCTAATATTATACATAACAAAATGGCCACAGAAGTTTTGATATTAAAGTTATGAGGGAATGGAAAGAAAATAAAATCTGTGAATATGAGTCTTGAAACATTATGCTCAAGTCCTCATCAACTAAAAATTTATTTGCCGCCCAAAAATCTTTAGCTTTGCACATAAAAATAGTAACTGTATAAAGTTAAATCGTAGTGGATTAATTTATAACAAGTACTGCAAACAGCTGACTTTTTTTAAATCCACTTAGTTGGGGGTGGAGTCCAGATGGGTCCACTCGGCACAGTAGCCACTGATTGGCCTATTGTACCTGCCCCGGGTGATTATGATGATGGAGACTTTGGTGGAATGAAGATTGGCAGGGTGAAACTGAAGTACTCTGAGAAAACCCACCCCAGTGCCACTTTGTCCACCACAAATCCCACTTGACCAGACCTGGGATTGAACCCGGGCCGCCGTGGTGGGAAGGCGGTGGCTAACTGCTTGAGCTATGGCGCGGCCCAAACAGCTGACTTAGTTCTGCAGAAGAAACACATTTAAATCATTACTTTCCCTTAAGTGGCCACTCTATAACTGACATGAAGGGAAAGTGATATTTCCAATGTGACAAATAAAATAAAATACAAGCATTGAAAATCTATCAATATTAATGTCAGTTTCTGCTCCCAGATTCATACAACTCACCAAGATGTGGCCAACAGTAAGTCAGTAGAGCAGAGTACAATGTGGTCACATTTTATGTGTATTTGAAACAGTGTGATATAAAAAAATATTAATAAAGTCTTTATGTAGAAAGTTTGAAATAATGTGAATCCACAGCAATTTGTCAACAAATTTATTCCTCCAAGAAAACTTGTGAATTATTTGAGGTTTTTGGGAAAACATCCTGCTCATATAATGTGACCGCACTGTACAATGCTATTCTACTTTATACAAGAATTCAGATTTTACTGGCAATGTTGATCGTTCAGACTAGTTCTCAAGCAGAAATTAACCTTGGCAGTATTAATGAACAAATGATTGTCATGGATGCACAAGGGAATAAATGAATTTTCCATGGCTGCACTGAACTTCAAACAAGACACTGATGTGTGTATTCTAAAGTATACAGGTGTCTGAAAACTCATGCCTATGGACTATTCCATGCGACTGCTTGCTGAACACTGAAATAATCGAATTTCAACTGATGCATAATATTCCTAGAAAGTGTGATTAAAACTGAATGCAGCATAAGAACATAGTATGGAGATTCACACTTATGGGCTCCAGTGTGCTGTTCCTTGATGAACACAGGCAAGAATGGACTTTTGTTTGTAAGTTGTCAATGAAAATGTGATTGAATTGAATGCCACATTACATTCTGTCATGTAAAGCAATGATGTTATGTTAGGTTCTTTTTCAAGCTTTCAGTCTAGCTAGCAGAAAAGCAATTCCATATTGTTACCATGACAGCTCATTTCTCTTTGATCATTCATTAGCTACATATAGCTGCATCCCATATATCTCAAACAGGACAAGTCAGAGTATAATATTTCATTCAGCGTATACCTAGAAGTACAAGGCGAAATAAGAAGAGGTGATTATACGGTGTATTATTCCGGAGATGAACGGGCTGAAAGAGGTGTGGCAATAGTGGTGCATAAAAGTGTAGTGAGGAGTGTTGTTAAGAAGATTGCTTGTAATACAGAATTATTGCTCTGAAGTTAAAGGCGGAACCCGTAGATATACTGATTATGCAAGTGTACATGCCAACATCAGAGTATGAAGATGATGAAGTGGAAAAAGTGTATGACACAATTGAAGAAATTCTTCAGGAAGATGGAAGAGGAGACACAAACAGCATCATATTGGGAGACTGGAACAGCACTGTTGGAGATGAACCATATCAGAATATTGTTGGATCACATGGACTAGGAAGACGGAATCACAGAGGTCAAATGCTTATTGACTTTTGTGAACGAAATGGATTGATTGTTACCAACACTTGGTTCAAGAAGCCAAAGAGAAGAATTTACACATGGAAGGCACCTGGGGATTGGAAGAGGCATCAGCTGGACTACATCCTTGTGAAACATCGATTCAGAAACAGTGTGAAGGATGTGAAGACGCTTCCTGGGGCAGACATTGACTCTGACCACAACTTGCTGGTTGCCAAGTTCCGAACCAGGTTGAAGAAAATTATAGGATTTCGAAAGCGCAGACCCAGATGGGATTTGGAGAAGTTATATGCTCAAAGACAAAGCGTGCAAGAGACTCTAGAAGAGAAACTCGGTGCAATTGAAGGTGAAAGCGGAAATGCTGAAGCGCAGTGGAACGATATAAAAGAATGCATGTTAGATACTATCAGTGATTTGGTAGGTAAAGTTGAGAAGATAGCAAGAAAACCATGGGTTACACAGGAGATGATGAGTAAAATGGAGGAGCGAAGGAAATGGAAGAATGTCAACAATGAAGAAGGCAGGAGGAAATACAGGAGACTGAGGAATGAATTGAAAAGAGCCACGGACAGGGCCAAAAAGGAATATCTTGAGAAGATATGTAATGAGATTATGGAATTTCAAAGAACAGGCCGTTATGATTTGATGTACATGAAGACAAAAGAACTAGGATGGAAAGAGAATCATGGGATTCAAAATGTTGGCATCGAAGACTCCCAGGGGAATAGAATAGTAGATCAGAGGCAAGTGCTGAAAATTTGGGAAAATTATATTTCAGAACTATATGATCGACCTAATCGGCCAGAAACCTTAGAAGTTGAACCGGAAGAAGAAGTAGATACAGACGAGAAAGGACCATATATTTTACAAAGTGAGGTGGAAAAAGCTATCAAGGAAATGAGGAAGGGAAAGGCTACAGGAGATGATGATGTACCTGGAGATGTGCTCAAGTTACTGGGAGAAGGTGGTTTGAAAACACTGACAAAACTAATGAACACCATATATGAAAGTGGAGAGTGGCCCAAGGACTTTACAGAAGTTACAATGATTGCCTTAAAGAAAAAGACAAAAGCTACAAAATGCAGCGACCATCGCACAATAAGTCTTATTGCACATACAGCAAAGATAATAGCAAAGATACTTAAAAGAAGAATTGAAAGGAAAATAGAGGATGTACTTGGAGAAGATCAGTTTGGATTTAGAAGAGGAAAAGGAACCAGGGATGCAATTGGGATGATGAGAATTATAGCGGAACGAACTTTGGAGATAGATGAAGAACTGTGTGTTTGCTTCATAGACTGGCAGAAGGCATTTGACCGGGTAAACTGGACCAAATTAATGCAGATCCTGAAAGAAACAGGTATCGATTGGCATGAAAGAAGATTGATTAGCAAATTGTACATGGATCAGAAAGTTAGAGTACGACTGGACAGGGGGGAGACAGGAAGTGTGCAGATTGGAAGAGGAGTTCGACAAGGATGCTGTTTATCACCAATTCTGTTCAACTTGTACAGCGAATGCCTTACCAAGGAAGCTCTGGATGGGCTCGGTGACTTCAAAGTAGGAGGGCAAATTATTCAAACTGTGAAATATGCAGATGACCTTGTGTTAATGGCTAAGGAAGAAACTGTGCTACAGGGCATGATTGATAGACTAATTGAAATTGGAAGGTGCTATGGCATGGAAATGAATGTGGAGAAAACAAAAGTAATGAAAATTTCGAGACAACCAACCCCAGTCACAATAAAGATAGACCAAAAACAAGTGGAGAATGTGAAATGTTTTAAATATTTGGGTAGCTTGTTAACAGATGATGGAAGGTGTACTTGTGAAATTAAATCCAGGATTGCCATGGCAAAAGCTGCATTTAGCAAGAAGAAGAATCTTTTTACCAGCAAATTGGACTTAAATTTGAGGAAGAAACTAGTGAAATGCTACATTTGGAGCATAGCTCTGTATGGGGCTGAAACATGGACACTTAGGGCAGTAGATCAGAAACATCTGGAAAGTTTCGAAATGTGGTGTTGGAGAAGGATGGAGAAGATCAGTTGGACCGATTATGTGAGAAATGAAGAAGTGTTAATTAGAGTCAGTGAGCAGAGGAATATCCTACATGAAATAAGAAAACGGAAGGCTAATTGGATTGGTCATGTTTTACGCAGAAACTGCCTTCTAAAAGAAGTTATCGAAGGAAAGATAGAGGGGCGGATAGAAGTGACAAGAAGACGAGGAAGAAGACGTAAGAAGATGCTGGATGACCTTGGGGACAGAAGAGGATACTGTCATTTGAAGGAGAAAGCTCTAGATCGCATTAAGTGGAGGAATTGTTTTGGAAGAGACTGTGGACCTGTCGTCTTGACAGATTACTGATGATGATGATACCTAGAAGTATGTTACCATTTCCCAAGAACAAAATATGCTCCAAGAGACTAAATCACAAACCTAATTATGTTATTAATAACTGTTTAGTAATTTTACAGTATACTTATAAATAGCTAAAGTTCATTACACCTAAGACATGCTTACTAATCAGATATATCATCCTAATGGAAATTTTGATCTCGTGATACAAACTTTTATTATAGCAGTGAAGCATGACAATTTTTACCAGTTTCATCCTCCCAAAATCTTTATGAACAGAGTGGAGAGTTCGTGATGTGTGATAAGTTATATCAGTAAATTACTAAAACCACGCAGTAGGTAAGATGAATATGATGGAACCGAGGTTCTCAGAGCAATGACGATGAATTGTACTAGCTAATGGGATAAAATGTTGTGTAGTTTGACTGTTCAACATTACAGAGGAATGTAATGCCTCTGTATTCAGGTTGAAGAGTAAGCACAGCAAGAAGCTGGCTGGCTGTCTATACATCTATCCAAAATATCAGTCAACTTCTGCCAAACTATGTGCTGTTACATTCCCAGAAGGTAGAAAATGTGATGTTTCAAGAAAAGAGTATAGCACCAAATTTTACATTTCTTTTGGGTTTGAAAGCATTTCCTACAATAAAAATGATTAATAATCTACTATTATAATAGAATGATTTCTATGTATATGTCATTATGCCTGTGACTGAGTATGGCTCCTTTTCCATGGTCATTTATGATGTCTCAGTCAACCACTGATTTAAGTGCAGATGTTTCCACACAACTGCTCAACGGTTCACTAAGATGCACAATAAACACTTTCAGAAAAGTGGCCTAACACTCATTGTAACAAAGGTGCGACTATAGCAGTACCAACAACATTCAACATTCAATGGAGTACAGTGGAGAGTTAGTGATGATATTACTGAGGATGAAATAAATGTATTTAATACCAAGGCCTAATTCTAGTTCTGTATATATAACATATTATATGAAACCACACTATGGCACATAAACAAATTACAAGTATATCTAATTTTGTAGTTTATTTCTGGTCCTCACACTCAACTGAAGTAATTACCTTTTAAGAACTGACACATAAGTTGCCAAAGATTTTCTTGAATCATACGAATCTCCATGTTTATCCAGCATGTCTTCAACTTCTGCTGTGGTTCCTTGGACAATTATCTGAATACTGAAATGAGAATGGCACAATGATTACATACAACACTGTGTACTTTCATCAGTCATTGCATATGTATCTCACTCCATAAAAACTTCAATCTGTAGCTAGCAAATACGTGCAAAATCAGGTCAACTACAGATTATGTTCGTGATAATGTATGAGAAAACCGAATGTGTAGCACAATAATTTTTTAAGCCTCACAAGAAAATTTTGGGCAGTACTTTGAAGTAGTCAAGAGCTCTTCCACATCCCATCATCATCATCATCATTAGTCCATATCGCATATAATTCACTATTCAAAATCATCCTACCATATCTTCACTACATAATCCATTAGCCAATACAGCATTGTAAAATAATCAGTTACTGAGGTAAGCTACTTTCTTCCATCCACTGCTACACAGAAGGTCCGCATCTTAACCAAGGGTGTTTGATGTGCATTCTAATATAGTAACAGATACAAGTCTCAAATACCAAGTTTTGGGACCACAGATTGTAATGTCGCATATAAGTCACACATACAAAAAAATACCTTTTCAAAGTTTCCAGTTCTTTACGGAGTTTCTTTGCCTCCTCCTGAGCATCTTCTGCAGCTTTGTTTTGTAGTCGTAGATATCTAATTTGATCCTTAAATACTGACATTGATGATTCCAGTGAACGAATCTTAACTTCCAATGTTTTGATTTCTTCCCTAGAACATCACTTACCAAGTGACAGTTAATTCCAGTTTTAAGGAATCATATCATTACCTTACATGTAACAAGTCAAAATTAGGTTACCTGACAATATGCTAAATGAATGATTCCGTTTAATTAAATTTCCTGTCCTAAAGAAATGAGTACCAGGAATTAATTAAATAATTTTCCTGGGGAGTAAAGCACGGCCGGCGTGTAAGTCTGACAACCTTACTATCTTTAAGTCGATTGTCTCACAATCCTATGGGCCTATACAGCCTCTTACAGTGATAGCTTTGCTTTACTTTTAAAGAAAATGTCTGATGTATAAGATGAGTAGTGTTTACTTCACATACATAGAGCTAATAAATTTGAATATGATTAGAGTATGATGTATATTACCTCATGAGTATACCTAGTTTATTTCTTTGTGTTGCTAGTGACTTTCTTATATCTATGTGCTGTAACTGTGGAAATGAAAGACGTGTGAACTGTGCAAGGCTATATTATTCACTACTGTTTCTACTTTCAAAACAATGACCAAAATTTATGGAAAGAAAAGATCACTTTTCAAATGACACACATAGTTGAATAAGGAATAATAATCTGTGACAGACAATGTGTTTACGGAGACCAAAAGAAACTGAATTCCTCATGCAGAAGAAATAATAAAGATCACTGAATCAACAAAGCCCATGTTAATGTCTTGCATACAAAACTGCTGCACAACATTTTCATTCCTCTGAAACTGTCACAGAAGATAGGAACAACTAATTACCAGTCCACATGTAAAGATGAGGTATCATTTCACAAGATACAAAGAAATGACTAAACAACAATTACAGAATTGTTTCATTTTGGTCCGTTACACTATCAATCACCAACTACCAATAGAACTTCCGTCGAGTGTAACAATATATATTCTTGTCACCATTTCCTCACATTTGCCTTACATGTTTCGGCTCACAAAGAGCCATCATCAGAGGCATCCACAACAAAAATATGGAAACACTTGCACTGCTCAACAATCACAATATACAGTTTTTTATGGAAGATGTTACACGTATCGGAGCGTAAAACACAACAACATCTAGTACCCCGAGTGCGGGTATCCCACTTGCATTTAAAAAATCACCCACAAAGCGGGTCGTTAATGTTAAAATTAAAGTTAAAACCGTCCAAGTAAAATATTCAGGTTCCTCTTAGTGGATTGTCCCAATGGGGGAGGCGTCAGCACGAGGTTGCGTGGGCTNCACACACACCCCCCACCACGTCACGATACACATAGCTTTAAATAACATCGACGTGGCCTCTCCACTGCACTACACAATACACTACGCGTCGGACACAGCCGACCACAAGCCCACGCAACCTCGTGCTGACGCCTCCCCCATTGGGACAATCCACTAAGAGGAACCTGAATATTTTACTTGGACGGTTTTAACTTTAATTTTAACATACGACCCGCTTTGTGGGTGATTTTTTAAATGCAAGTGGGATACCCGCACTCGGGGTACTAGATGTTGTTGTGTTTTACGCTCCGATACGTGTAACATCTTCCATAAAAAACTGTATATTGTGATTGTTGAGCAGTGCAAGTGTTTCCATATTTTTGTTGTGGATGCCTCTGATGATGGCTCTTTGTGAGCCGAAACATGTAAGGCAAATGTGAGGAAATGGTGACAAGAATATATATTGTTACAGTAAAGTAAAGTAAAGTAAAGTAAAGTAAAACTATACCTGTAACAGGTTAAACTTATTTTAAAGAAAAATAATTTATATGCAAGACTTTTAATTCAGTAGAAGTAACTTTTTAATTAATGTGGTTTTTTGGCAGTCAACACAACAAATTTTTCAAACAAAACACAATATCACTGTACAAACACTGGTTTTATTTCAGTGTCTGTTAATATTTTGAGCCATGCTTCAGATCATCAGGCAGTTTCTTAAATATGTCACATGTTACGGAATTGTCGCATTATAGATCCATATTAGCAATATTTTTTAATCCATTGATTCCTTTATGTTATAGTTAACCTTAGGGCTAAAATTATTTAAATAAGTTATGTCTTTGTAAGTTTTGAGGTTTTCACGGCGATGACAATGAAGAAAGTTGTCTTCTGGGTTTAGGCACCGTGTATTCTTCGTTTTNCGTCTTGTCAGTATGATGTGTTTCCATGATGTTTGTCATGTATTGGAGGGTGATATTTTCTGGGATTCGTTAACGTTTATTTTATTTGAATTTAATTATTGTATAGCAACAATGCAGAAACAAGCTGTGCACACAGTATTGATTAGACATATCAGTGAACCATCTATATGAAATAAAATGTCAGCAGACAAGTGGAGCCTGTAACTATTTGTACAGCTTTATCAAAAATTGTTTCATTAATACAAATGTTGTATATATGTTTATCTTTCGTGTGTTACTAACCTTAATCCCTTATTTTGATTGGTCAATTTTTGATTTTCTTCAGCAGTATTTTTAATATCTGTATCTTTAAGATGAATCTGAAATTTCAGATTATCAATCTTGTTATGCATAAGACTAACATCTTCCTCTGTTTCACTGCTTGCAACATTAAAATAAATTCGATGGATTGTCTTCTCAGTAGTCTTATTTCGACACTGTGGACAGGACTTGGATCTGAAACAGGAATAAACTATTTACTTGGTACAGAAAAGAAAAAGATCTACAGATATAAATTTTTTAAACAGTACCCTATATATGTAGTCCTGTTTTTTTTTCTGTGGCGCTACAGCCCCAATTTCGGCCTAGGCCTACCTCCATGAAACTCTCTGTTTCACTTCGGTTTACTAGATCTTACACATTCGGTAGGACTCCTTGGGCGAGTGATCAGCTCGTCGCAAATGTAGTCCTGTTGGACTGTATTATAAACGAGTGCCACATATAACACCAATATAAAAAAAAATTTCCTTCATCCTACAGTGCATCAAGTTGCATTTTCGTACTGTTGTTTAAAATTAACTTTCATACGCGGTGATGTGACACGAGGCAAGACCGTGTCTTATAAATTTAGAGCACCTAAAAATTATAAAATGCGGTCTGATTGAATAAATGCATACTTGGTGGGCCATATGAAATGCGGTTTAATGCAATTACATACCTCTCAATCCATTGAATCAAACATGGGTAATGGAACAGATGGCCACAACCTGTTACGAAAACATCAGACACAGGTACGAATAAATCACTGCATATAACACAGCTGATGTGCATGATTTACACCGAAGAATAATGAATAATTAATCAAATTTGTCACATAAAACGAAGATTCAGTCTTTCATAGAAAACACCTCCTTCCCTTCCCAACGCGCGCCAATTCACCGATACCAACCATACCTACTTAATATACCGAATGGGTTGTAACAACCCAAAATTATAATTTCTCCTCCTTCCCTGGACATGAGCACGTTATTTGAGAGGCAACAGTACGCACCGTGCCATTCATCCAATTTTACGTATATATTAATATCCTGGTAGTGATCATTTGAAAATACACCCGAGACCTGCCTGTTACAAATCACCCGCTAGTAACCCTAGTAACGATTCGCGCAAAGAAGTACGAATGTCCATTCGGGTAGTCTGCTGACTGCAGGTACAATTACAGTATATCCTGCTACAATTGTTTAGCGTGCAGTTCATTCCATAAAGCAGACTTTCTCAACCTTCTTACCCCGGAGGAACCCCTTCAATAATTTTCAAGCCTCAGGAACCCATGTATAAACATTATTACAAAGGTAGGCTCTAGATTTAATGTAAAGAAAGGTTGTGAACTGAACATAACTAGTGCTGTTTGCAACATAAAAATTTATTGAAGATGTTGAATGGTAAGGGTACTGAAAAACATACGATAAATCAAAGCAATATGAACAAACATATAGTCTAAGACAGTGTTATTTTTTAAACTAGAATAAAGAGTGAAATTTACTTCTTTTCTGTAAAACCTATGTTTATTTTTTTGCTGCACAAATACTTAATCCTGGACCAAACTTTAGATAAGCACACATGGAGTTGATCTTCAGCTGAAGTGAGAAATTTCTGCCTTGCTCTTGATGCTTGATAAACAGGAAAACACTTCCTCACACATGTAGGATGAAAAAACTGCAGCAGTATGTTTATTTCTTTCCTATGAATGGCAGAATACTCCTCTTTCACAGAAATCCAGAACTTATCCAGGGATAGTTCAGTAAACTTCATCTTGAGTGCACAATCAGACTGCAGCTCATAAGTTCTTCCCTTTCTCTTAAAGGTAAGTTCTGAGACTGAGCAGATGATTCAGAGTAAGAGTTTCTCACCCAGTCATACACTTGTGTTGAAAGGGAGAGAAAATAATGTTTAATTTTGTTCTGAAGTTTTTCATGGTGTGTTTACAATAAGAATCCTTCACTCTCAAGTCCCAGCAACAGTGGAAACTTTTCAAGATTTCCTTTCATAGCATGATTTTTCAAAGGTTCAGTTTCCTTTTCAGTCCAGACTTGTTCAGCTGGTACATGTGATGAAAAATGTCTGCTAAATAATAATCTTGCAATTCACATTTCAGCTCAAGCACCCTGTTGAGAAATTTTACTTTGCTAAGCCACTGGATTTCTGTATGTAGCAGGAGATATATGTACTGTTAGTCCAGGTTATCGCACTTTTCTTAAACATTCTGGATTGAACTGGTCTTTGTTTGATAAAGTTAACCATTTCTGTAGCATCATACAAAACTTCATTTCATCTCTAAAAGTTTTTGAAGCCAGCACCTCTGTAAATGAAGCAGGATGTTGTGGCAACCTTAGGATTTTTTCTTTTTTTACTAGAGGCAAAACTTCTAATGGAGCCAACCACTGGTGGGGCACCATCAGTACAGATGCCTACACAGTTCTCCCAAGACAGACCATTTGTTTCCACACATGAAGACAAAACATTAAATATATCTTGCCCTTTGCTTGTTTCAGACAGCTCTTTGCAAAAGAAAAAGTTTACTTGATTTTCACCGCCATTTTCAAATCTTACAATTCTTCTGACCTACAAAATCCTCCTTATGCAGTGTTTGAAATGAGCACGTGCGGTATTCCTCTATGACAGTGTCGTCAACCACCAAATGCCAATTCCCCTTTCATGCCTGCCTCCATTTGCCCGACCCTCCAATACATGTTACCACAAAAGAATGAAAATGACTACAGTGAACTATTTATGTCAGTTTTGGCGCACTTGCTTCCAATTAATTTAAACATTAATTGTTATTATGGTATTAAGATTACTGAAATGATAAAGTAACTCGTTTAAATATGGAATAACCATTGAAAATTTTAATATTTAATTTTAATCTAATATTTATTTAAGTTGTGAATTCCAAATATGGGAGATAGCTGTAGTGATCATTAATAACATAAACACATAAGGGTGAATGTGAAAACGTTTATACATATATATCTCACAACTAGCTCAACGATCACTCTCAACTAACTCGTGGCATCACTAGCCATCACTGACTACTCACTGGCTACCAACTACTACTGACTGCAACTGCTGATGGCAACTTGCTATGTAGCCTTGGTTTGGGCCAAATGGAAAACACTGTTTCCAACAGTTATCTTGTTGCACAGCAATGCAAATGATGTCATAACGTGCTTGCTATGCCATTGCCTAGCAACAAATGACATCTCTTGTAACGCTATTCAATCACATCACACTATATACAGCATTTTTTATGAGTTGCTTTTGAGAACTGTTGTGACACTGTGAAGCAGACATTTATTGTTCAATTGATATTGACTAAAATTAAATTCACTCGCCTTTTTGTATAGACTCACAATAGCAAATTTCATAAATATCCATTGAATAGTTTTGAAAAGCATGCAGGCAGACAGTCAGGGCCTCCAATGAAGTTCCACTGATGCACTTTGTGAGAAGCTCATGTAAAAATGAGCCAATAGTTTAAACTGATAGCTGATAATTTCCATATGAAGTACTGTTGCTGTTAGGGGCTTAAAATGGGGGAAAAGATTTCTGAAGAACAGCATTTATAGTTTGTAAGTTCCATCGATTTATACAATTAAGAAATATGACAAATTCTTGGAGTTCAGTCTATTTCTAGCCAAGGGAATTTCATGTGAATATATACCCATAATGAATACTAGGTAAGACTTTGGTATGAAAATTGTGCTGCATTCAAACACGTATTGTACAGACCAAGCAACTTGATTTATTGTCATCTTCCCTTTAGGTTACTTTACATATTCCACAGGGTAAACAAAGTCTTGCGCATAACTGTACAAGTGAAATTCAGAATGTCACTTGTTCATTAATAACATTACTTCAATAATTCATAAATGATTCCTGAGAACTGTTACTGCTCTACAAGGGTAATGAAACAGTAAATAATATTAAGAGTGAAAATGTTTATTCATACTTTTGTTATATACAGATATGAACTTCAAATTCAGCAAAAACCGAACATACTGCAGTATATAAAAAGGGCAAAACAAATTTATTACATACACGGGGTACAAAGTGCGATCATCCTCTCACAATATTACACACGAATTGTCCACAGCCAGACTAAAACATCAAGTGAATTGAAAGGAAATGATTCCCCACAAATATGTATTTTATTTACATATCAACATCACTTGCATGCTGGTCGTACATTTTGATCCCAGCACCCTTCCCACAGCCTGAACACTATCTTCTGTCCAACAGCTTAACTGCTCAGAGCATCAGTACTGAAGAATCAGTCCAGTCAATTTGGGGAAAGGGGAAAAAAGGATAAATTTATCGTTCTTCTAAAATCACAGTTTCTTGTGGACATAACTTAAGTTCTTGTAGAGTTAATTTAGAATCAAGTGAAGTAAGCTGAAACAACAAAGACATATTCAATATAAATCACTGCAAGAAAATTATGAAACTGAAAATCACTGTTTGCTTTATACTATAATAAGTGTGACTAGACAGAGAAAATAATAAGAATCTAAAATAAAGAGGCTTTAAAACACTTCTTTTAGAGTTTATATGTGGCAGAACCATGGTAACATGTAAAAGCATCAGTCCATACACAAGCATGCATGTACATGCACAAATACACACACTCTTTTACGTTCAAGAAACACGCACGTTCTTCTTACAAAAAAATAACAGGTACACCTAACAAATTATGTAACACTGTGTATGTAAGCCATTTAGTGATCTGAGTCAGCAGTGCTGGTGAAATATAGGCATGAAATGTACCTTAAATTTAATGCATTTTAGTTACTGGATAAATATACAAGGGGTGGACAAAATAATGGAAACACTAAGAAATTAAGGAATAGAATTTGTGTAGGCTACACTGAAAGAACTTTGGTTGGCAACTGTGAATGTTCTTCTGTTTGTTTACACTCTGTAGTGCTCATGTAAGTGCATTAATGAATATGTTGAGTGATAATCCATGAGAAAGAATCAGAAAATGGGACTTGTCCAGTACTGAAAGAGGGCAGATTGTTGGTGTGCATTTAGCTTGAGCATCTGTCACAAAAACTAACACATTATTAAGTGTATCGAGAGCGACAGTTTCTAAGCTTATGTCAGCATACATGAATCATGGGAAATCAACATCAGTTTACAGGAGCAGTGGGCAAAAATCAACACTGATGGAAAGAGAATGTCATGCATTGAGAAGAAGTGTTTGAAAAAAATCACACAACTGTTGCAGCATATTTGACAGCAGAACTGAAGACCCTGTTTCCAAAAAAAAAAAAAAAAAAAAAAAAAAAAAAAAAAAAAAAANATCCAACATCCAACTGCAACTGCTAAACCTTTGATTACTAAAAGTAATGCTCAGATGCATAGACAGTGGTGTCACAGCCATAAAACCTGGACATCAGACAACTGGAAACACGTGCATTATATGGTCAGAGGAGTCATCCTTCATGCTGTTCCCCCCATTAAGAAAAGTTTATGTTTGGAGAACACTCAAGGAAGCCTACAGTCTGGAATGCCTGGTTCCAACAGTGGAAGAGGGGGGATGTTCTGTGATGGTTTAGGTAAAAATATCTTGGTACAGTATTCTGTTGGTCCCATTATTACCCTTCATGGCTGTATTACTGCAAGGGAGTATGCGGACAGGTTGGGTAATCAGGTCCAGCCCATGATCCAGACGTTATTTCTGAACAACAATGCAGTTTTCCAAGATGACAATGACCCCATTCACACAGCTGGAACTGTTCAATCATAGTTTGAAGAACGTGAAGGTGAACGTTAACTTTTCCCTGGCCAGAACAATCACGAAATTTGAACATTGTTGAACCACTCTTGTCAAGATTCCCACCTCCAACATCTCTAAAGCAACTTGAAGATGTTCTTGAAGAATAATGTAACATCCCAGTAGAAACTGTTCAAAATTTGTACGAGTCCATTCCAAGGACTGCAGCTGTATTGAAGGCAAAAGGTGGTCCAGCACCATATTAATAAAGAAATGTGTACAGTATGTGTAGTGTTTCCTTCATTTTGTTCAACCCCTGTAAATCGTGCCTTAGGTGATCTGAATATAACTTTCGAATTTGAGCAATTTCTGTCAAAAGTGAGGTAAATCTTGATTTATGGAATTGGGGTTGAAGACTATTGCCTACATCAGTGTTTTGCAAAAAGTGCTCCACTCAAAAATTCCATTATAATATTAAAAAATTATTTTTATTATTAACTTCACTTAAAAATTTTAATTTTGGAGCTTCTTTATAAATGTCACTTTCAAAGGGAGAAATCAATAAACTAAAGCATGTAGCTTATAGTATATGAAGCAAGGAGTTCCAGGTAGAACTCATGAAGCCTGCTTTGTTACTCCATCTTGTACTGTTAATGTCATATTTAGATGATACACATTTATTTATATACTGTAATGTGTTGGGTTTCTGAAGATGCCGTTCGGATTGTTAATTGGTTTATTTAACAACCTACAAGTCATAACTACAATTGATTATAACACTGTTGCAGGGTTTCACACTTTATAACCCTACACACAAATCTCTTCACACTGTCCTCAGTAGTCTACACATATTCACAGTACGGGAGCTGTACAAGTCTCTCTGTATTACACACTCCCAATTACACAATTACACATGCGTCCGGTTCTTCTTTCCACGACTGCTGCTATACTCCAACTCTTCGTAGGCTGCTGCCTTGAGAACTCGTTCACTGCTGACTAACTGATACACTTAACTGTCTTCGTAGGCAGTGTAGGTCTCTTATAAACCCTCAGCTGGACAATGGGAAAATGCCTTGCTTCCTTGTTGCCTAGGCGCCGTGTTTGCTGATAGCCTAGCAACACTGCCGGGAGTTGTTTACGATAACGTAGCAACTGAGGCGTCCCGTGTTACATCACTGCGGGGAGAGATGGGGTGTTGACTGGGTTTGCTTAGCAACCGCTGTTTACTAGCTTTGCATAGAGACCAGTGTGCTGCGAATTGGCTCACTTCGGCTCTGCTCGGCATGTCATGGCTGGTGGGGAGGGAGGGGCGTCATCCATAGTGCAACACATCACACTGCTCCCTCCTTAAGGCTGTTCGTCCCGAATAGCCTAACGGTGCACCTCCATTCCTTTCCTTTGGAGGCTGTTCTTGCAGCATCTTCTTTTTGTCCTGCTACTGTTTCTCTTCTCCCCGCTGCTCTGCTCTCCAACCGCTACATCTTCTCCATTTTTATGGTTGCTCGTCTTGAGCAGCTCCATGATAAGGCGCGAGCCGGTCCAGGTGTACTACCAACATCCTCGACCTAGTGTTCCTCTGGATGCTGCATACCACATCATCTGTCCACTAGGTAACAAGGAAGCGAGGCGTTTTCCCGTTGTCTGGCTGAGGGTTTATAAGAGACCTACACTGCCTACAAAGACAGTTAAGTGTATCAGTTAGTCAGCAGTGAAAGAGTTCTCAAGGCAGCAGCCTACGAAGAGTTGGAGTATAGCAGCAGCTGCGGAAAGAAGAACTGGACGTGTGTGTAATTGTGTAATTGTGAGTGTGTAATACAGAGACTTGTACAGCTCCCGTACTGTGAATACGTGTAGACTACTGAGGACAGTGTGAAGAGATTTGTGTGTAGGGTTATAAAGTGTGAAACCCCGCAACAGTGTTATAATCAATTGTAGTTACGACTTGTAGGTTGTTAAATAAACCAATTAACAATCCGAACGGCGTCTTCAGAAACCCAACACGTTACAATACTTATGGAATGCAATGGAAATAGCACTGTTATTTAATTATAAGCCAGCAGATAGTAAATACAATATTTTTTGTGACAAAGATATCTACTGCTAGAATTTAAGGAACCTGGACTACACATGAATGACAATGGTAATATCCTAAAATGTCTGATAAAAGAAATACTAATTTATACGGTGCCATGTTCATCATGGAAGTTTATTTACCACATGATATCAATGTCATATGTTATGTTGAAGTAGCCTCTATAGCAAACTTTAATACAGTCATAATTCTAAAATTGCTCTTTGTACACAAAGACCATTAACCCTTTCGCGTGGTGATTTAAATTCTGCGGCCGTCTCTCCGGCGGTAATATATTCAGCCGGCCATTTAAATTTTGCTCGAAAATGATTTATTCATCATTGTTCTTAAATTATATGAGATAGGAACATGAAACTTTCACTAAAATGATCTTAAAAGGTGGTTTTATAACCTTGCCTTATAATATGAGCGCCCGGTATCTCGGCAATGGAAGCAGTTGGTTTAGAATTTGAGCAGTGTAATGTTGGCCTTGAAGCATTCGTCTAACCCAACGCTGCCCCACATTCACCGCTCCAATATTGTGTATCTTTTCTTTGGCCCTTTTTTTTAACCACACATCTTCTGTGCGGCCTTGCCTTCTTCCCCGCGAGGGGTATACGTTCAAGGAAATGTCTTTCCGTGATCCGCTTATTTGCCAGGTCAGCTGCAGTAAATTCAACGTTACGAGTTATCATAACAAGGGGTTGTTGCTATGCCTTTGATATTCCGTTCATTTTGGCGGCAGTAGATGTCGTAGGGGTGACCACAGAATTCATGAAGTTATTCTAAGAACTGGCTGGTATGTAGTGCACGAAAGCAGAGCTTAGCTGGCTCAAAAAAAATATTTATGGTCATCCCTCGAAACGACCACCAAGGTCAGTACGATAAAATGGCGTCAACTGGAGCGATAATACATGAAGGAATGAGTTCTTTTCCCTCCCCCACACACATCCGTATCGTCTCAGGGGGTGACCACAGTGTTCTGCCTTAAATTGTGGCGTTTTTCTAAGAACTGGGCCTTTGTACTGTGCGAAATCAATGGATCATGCGAGAATAAATTTCTGGACATCCCTATTCTAAGAATTCCAATTGAGTGTGTTAGTGTGGCCAGCTCAGGGCAATATGATATTATAAACACAGCACATATCACGTCTCTGCTGTTTATAACTTCATAGCAAAGAAAACACGCCATTCATAACAGTATGAACGAGGAAACCGCTCGCAAGAGCAACAGGAACTTTGCTGCAAGACAGGCATATGTAACGATGAATTAGCGCAGCTAAACTCATGTCTCATTAAATACGGTTCTCCTGACAACAGGCCAGCGAAAAATCTAACAATCTACAGCAAAACCATCAATTATTATGGGCGTTATAACATAGGTGTGCAGCTGGACGAAACATACACGTCGAACCCCCCCAGACGATTTAAATACCTGACGAAACATACACGTCAAACCACGCTGAACGGTTAAGAGATATAGAGAAATATACAAACAAAAAATGTACAGAACCCTACTATTTCATGGTGTGTCTCTCAGTTTTTGTCAGTGGTCATATATATGAACTCATTTCAAGTCTTGCTTTTGACTGCAATACTTACTAACATCTGGACATTGTACCTTTTGCATAAGGAGCTTGTCACTGTTTAGATCAACTACCCTTAAAGAGCAGGAAGAAGCAAGTTTTATGACAAGTATGCTACGGGTCTTCTACAAGTATATAATTTTAGAATGGATGAGCGTGACTTCCCTGTAGTTTATCCAGCAGGTGGAAGGGGCAGTAAAACAACTGAGTCACCAGGTGTGATTTTAAAAATTAACGGACCTTGTATCTTTAAAATGTGAAAATGAAAGACAACACTCACAGAAATGTGATGTCACAATAACTAAATGTAATTAGAGCAACAGCTGCAGGAAGCCTACCAAAGTGACAAAAAGAAGGTTCACATGCACACGCACTTACACACATAAAAAACATTTTGAGCTATAAATACATACACTAACATCCACATTCATTATTAATTTATTTGAAGTGCCTTTAACCCTCTAATTGAAAATGTTTTGAACGATGAAAGCAATGAATCTACTTACATCTCTTCGAGGCCAGCTCGAAATAACCTTATACTCATCTGGTGGATAACCTTGCACCACTAGAAAATCAAGTAATACCTAAAACACACAAGAAATTAGGCATTATAAATAAGGAGCCATGCCAAGAGAACAAAAATCCATGTAACAAACAGATACAACATACTTTGAGGGGCGCTGTAATTTGAAATCGTCGTGTCAGACATTCTCCCTTTGGAAGTCTGAAACGGATTTTGGTGATGCCAGCACCAGCACTCTCTTGTGGTTCCTCTGGCAACTGAGATTTAACTTCCAGTCTATGAGCCTGGAATAAAACAATTTCAAGATTACATATTCAATTTATAGGAAGAGTTTTGCAACATAATGTAATGAATAACTGGTGGAAATTCCACCAAGAAATTTCATCAGCACATGACAAATTGTAAATACCTGTTGATTTTTGGCTTAGTTTTAACTCACAATTGGCAGGTTTAATGATGATTTTCCAAATACACTGGCTATAGTTTCAAACAATGGGATGACTGTCAATGATGCACTGGAGAGAATATGCAAGGAAGATGGTATGGCTTATTTTATTGTTATACAATCAGACCTTCAACCACAGTAATCAGTACTTTTAACTCTTTTTGCTAGGTGACTGGGTATGTGAATTTAACATTTTTTCTTTCTCTGCCTTTTTTCTTATGTACAGATGCAGAATAAGAATGTACAGTGTGAAATCTGGGTGTAACAGGAAAATATCATGTTATATTTTAGCGTCCTGTTGCACTGATTTATGTCCATGATTTATTCTGACCGTCTTACAGTGCATACATTTATTCACCTTACTCTTCTCTCTTGCACTACATGTTTCAGCACTAAAGTGCCACCTTCAGGTGCTTTTCGATGTACGTCGAACTACTTCATTGCATGCCCTGTTGTCTTTATACTAAAATAACTAAAATATATATTCGTCATATATATTGATAAATTTTAAATATTAAAATATAAGGATGACAAAAATCCTGAACAGTTTTAATATTTTTAATATTTAAAATTTATCAATATATATGACGA